GCGGCCAGCCCCCCCCGGCCTCTCACCCCCCAAGGTCACCCCGTTTGCTCGCTCGTGTGCATGCCCCCCTCCCCGCGCCGTCTCCGCTCCCACCTTCACCATGTGCCTTCTGGTCTCTCCTGGCCACGCAGCGCCGTGCCGGACTCCTGCCCCATTAACATTGAGGAATAGGTATGAGACCCCCAGAGCCTGCGCCCGCCTCGCGCCCCATCATCCCGGGTGGGGGGAATCGGCGCTGGGTTGGCACTCCTCGTCCTGGCGTTGCTGGCGGTCCCCTCGCTGTCCTGGCCGGGGTGACATCCCTTAGTGCCAAACCTGCAGCCCCCACAGGGCATCCGCATGTGCCCTCTAGCTGGGCATGGGGCGGAGGGGGGCAGAGCCCCCAGAGCCTGCGCCCGCCTCGCGCCCCATCATCCCGGGTGGGGGGAATCGGCGCTGGGTTGGCACTCCTCGTCCTGGCGTTGCTGGCGGTCCCCTCGCTGTCCTGGCCGGGGTGACATCCCTTAGTGCCAAACCTGCAGCCCCCACAGGGCATCCGCATGTGCCCTCTAGCTGGGCATGGGGCGGAGGGGGGCAGAGGCAGCCCCCTTCCATTTGGGTTATTAGAAGCTTGCCGTGGTACGCAGTGCTTCCCGTTTGCCCCTCAGCATTCCTGAGAAATCGGGGGTTTAAGGGTCTCCCCCAGCCCGGAGAGGTAAGTGCAGGTACTCACCAGCCCTCGCTGCAGCCAAAACCCTAAAGGGGGGCCAGGGGAGGTGGGTGTTATTTGGGGAGACTAATTTGCATTCCCCATGGAAAGATGAGCCGAGCGTGCCGGTGGGCTTTGGGAGCCCCTAACCCCCCCATTTTCTCTCTCCTCCCCAACCCCCCAGGCCCGGAGGCAGCCAACAACAACGTGCGGCTCCTGCGGTAGGTGCCCTGGCCCCGCTGCCCCCCCGGCACCCCAGCCCTGGAGCAGGCAGCGGCCGCCCTGCCCGTGTGAGGGCTCAGCCTCAGCGGGGGCACGTACCCCCCCTGCCCACCCGGAGGGACCCGGGCACCGCGGGCATCGCCACCTCCATCCCTTGGCTGTAGCGGGACTGATTTTCAAAAGAAAAGATGGTAACCTCGACTTGTCCTCCCTGGCCCCCCTCTGCGGGGGGGGCGGGGGCCAAGAGCCGCGTCACCTTGGAGCCCCCCATCAGCACTTTCCCGTCCTCCAGCCCCGATAGGGACAGGCTGGGGGCCCCTCCTGCCATCACACATCTCCGGGGCTCCTCTCCTCCAGCTTGCAGAGCAGCGCCCAGTCGGATGGGATGGGGTCACCCCATAAGGGGGGTCCTGAGATGTGGCCGGAGGGGAACGATGGGGTGAGGGTGCCCAGGGGTGTGGGTTAAGGATGGGGCATTGGCATCCTCGATGCATGAGCTGGTGACCTTCATGGGGGGCCAGCCCCCCCAAGGTTTGCTGGCCCGTGCCCCTTGCCATGCTGTGGGATGTCCCCATGCCATGCCATGGACTGTCCCCATTAATGCACTGGCGGTGATGGTGCTCCCCCCCTGCCGCACTTTGTAGCAGGGGATGGATGAGCGTGTGGGAGCTGCCCCCCCACCACTCCATCCCCATCCCTCCGGCCAGCGCTGGCTGATGGCATAAGCGGGTTTTGCTCAAGGGGACAGGCACAGAGGGACATCGATTGGACAGGGACAGCCACAGACCTCGGGGACCTGATGGGGCCATTGGCAGAGACCAGGCTCCACTCCAGAGAGCATCAGGGACAGTCAGGAGCCGTTTTGGGGAGCATCAGGCCCAGCATCCCAATCTAGCGAGCTCTGGAGCTGTTTGGGCCAGCCTGGGGAGGGCAGGCTGAGCCCTCCCTTTTCCCCCGCCTGGTTTTCTCACTAGCGTGAGCCGGAGGAGAGCCCCCAGCACGGATGTGATAGCAAAGGCCGTCTCCTCCTTGCAGGAAAAAAACATGTTTTGGAGCTACCTTAGGACAGAGACGTTCATACAGTGAAAGCAGCGTCCCGCAGCGGCTGCAGGGTGTGTGCAGGGAGCAGGTCCCCACGGCGGAGCATGGGCTATGCCAATGGCCATGGCTCCTAAAGGGGGATAAAGCCCTTTTTGGGGCCAGGGGGATGTTTTCTCCACCTCCAGACAGCCAGGGCCTCAGTAGCTGCTTGCTCGGGGGGGTCGGTGTCAGCCACCCTGCTGCTTCCTCCTCCGGGTTCCCTCCACCCTGCCGTGTCTCCCTTCCTCTCAATAGCTCCCAAATTTCTCCCTGGGAACCTGGGGCTGGGCGTGCTTGATGGTGGTGGGTTGGTGGGGTGGTGACATCTCCAAACTGCCATCCCATGGGATGGGAGCTGCTAGCAGCAGAGAGGGCTGGAGCAGCAGGGGACAAGCCTTGTGCCCTGCTGAGGGACACGCTGCCATGGTGGGGCTACCCACAGGTTTGGGCGTCCTGGCCCCAAGGGAGCCACACCAGCACCATGCTGGGCACAGGGAGAGCTTTGGGGGTTCACCGTCATGCTGAGCTGAGAAAACCAGGGGGGTGGTAGGAGGCTGGCTGCTCCCGCACCCTCAGGCATGGGCAGGAGAGGGAAAAATCAGGCTGGTGCTCCAAGGGTGGCTCGTCTGTCGAAGCCCACCCTTCCTCACAGCTTCAAAGGGGACGAGAGCTCTCCAGTCCTGGCCAGGCACCACGACGTAGGGCTGCGACAGTGCTTGTGGCTGCCTGCAGGTCAGGGCAGAACAGGCAGGTCCTTCCTCAGGAGGGTCCCGGGAGGTGACCGAGAGGGTTTTCCCTTTGAGCTGTGTGTCCCCGAAGCTGCAGGAGCAGCCAGGTGAGCTCATGGGGTGGCTGCAGACCAGGGTGGCTGCTGGTGAGCACATGGCAATGGGGAGAAACAGGGAAGATGCTGCGGCCGAGCAGCGCGGTGCTGCCATAGTGCAAGAAAAGTGGCACCGTCGTGGCACAGGAGAGATGGGATTTTGGTGTGGGTGACCCCAGCGCCGTCCTCAGCCACCCAGAAGGGATGAGGGGCGGACAGGAGCTGCCAGTGCTGGCAGCGTGGGGTGAAAGGCAACGGCCCCTTATCTCACGGGGCAGCCCCTTGTTCCAGTGATCCACGTGTCAGGGATTTAAGGAAGGAAACCAGATTGCTGCTTATGACTTTGCTTTGAGCATGTTTTGGATTTTAAGAGTATGTTTAATAAAGGGTATCTTATGTCGACAAAGCGTCCGGAGTCATTCCGTGGTTGTAAGGTGAGGGCAGTCGAGGTCTTGGGGGCGTGGTGGATGAAAACCCTTTTTGGCTGTGAGTGTCCCCCCACCCATCACCCAGGCACCTCCCCAAAACCAGCCCAGCTGCTTCAGGTCTTCTAAACACTTCCCAAGGTCCCCTTCTAACCCACATTACCCGACCATCCTAAATCCTGCCTCCTCTGAGACCTGCTGGGATGGAGAAGGTGCAAATGCAAACCAAACCTCTGCAGAAGAACCCAGCCTGGGGTAGTGGCATCTCCCTGGCATGGCCAGGCAGGTGGCACAAGCTCAGCGTCCCCTGGCACTGCTGGGACGGATGAGGACACCCAGAGGGGACCTTTCTTTGGAGGAGAAGAGGAGCACTGAGGAGCTGGGTGCTCGTGCAGGGGAAATCCCTCCAGCGCTGGGGAAGAAAACCCGTGCTGGGAGCTGATGCGTTGAAGGTGAGGAAGGCTATAAGGGGGGGTTGTAATTTGGTTTTAATGGAGGGGGCTGATGCACGGTGGGGGGCAGCACCTTGCAGCTGTGAGTGGAGAGAGGGCTCGTGGATGGCCGGATCCTGCAAAGAGGTGGAAGAACTGAGACCTGAAGTGCTTTGCCCCAGGTTTGGGAAAGCCCAGGGCTGCGCTGGCAACTCAAGCTCCCGCTGCCTTCTCAAGCTCCTGCTGCCTTCAGGTGTGTTTTGCAGGGGCAGGTCCCGCTCTGGAGGGAGCTGACCCATTAGAAGGGAAGAAAATTGAGGTTTGGGGTTGTTTTCTGGGTATCGGTCCACTGAAAAGCAAAATAGAAATTTCTGCTCCCCTGTGAGCTGCCTCCTCCCTCCTCCACACCCAGTCCCAGCACTCATCACCTCCCAACCTCTGGGGATGGACACGAGCAATGGGGCACCTGTCTGTGTGCTGGAGAGAGGATTTGACCCCCCCAACTTGTCTCATCCAAATCCCTGGGGATCTTGGTGGGACAATCCCTCACTGTGCACACCACTTCAGGCAGCAGCGACCCTCGAGAGAGGGTCCGGCCACTTACCTGCCCCCTGCTCTCAAATGTTCTTCCCCTGTGGGGCAGGCACAGGAGGAGTGCTCGGTGTTTAAACCTCCCCAAGACACCCCGAAGCCCACCGCTCCCCCAAAAGGCAGGGCTTGCGATGTGGGGTGAACAAAAACACGATCCCCTTGGGTTTCACAACTGCTCTCAGCGCCCTTGGTTGGGGAGCAGGGGAGGGCCTTCACTGGTGTCTGTTAAAGCCTGGCAGTGGGGGGGTCGGGGATTTCTTATAGCGACATAGGGCTGTAATCCTTTTAATTACATAAAGGCAGACCCCAACAAAAACACGATCCCCTTGGGTTTCACAACTGCTCTCAGCGCCCTTGGTTGGGGAGCAGGGGAGGGCCTTCACTGGTGTCTGTTAAAGCCTGGCAGTGGGGGGGTCGGGGATTTCTTATAGCGACATAGGGCTGTAATCCTTTTAATTACATAAAGGCAGACCCCACTTTTTAATTTGGGGCATCTACCAGCACCCCTTCCCCCTGCAGCTTTGCCCTAACTGCTGTGG